ATATATATATATCTGTGTGTGTGTGTACATATAGTTATACTGTATAATATATAACTGTTAACTACAGCAGCACCTGTTCAGCACCTCTCCATGAACTCAGTTCTACTCGATTCACTTTGGGTCGGTTCTGCTCCGTGTCTGTGTGTCTGCACACAGTGGGTGTGATAATGTGCAGACCGTCTGCAGCTGATTCAACTGTTGTTAATAATAATCATAAAATAATATAAAAAAGCTGTTGTGGTCTTACCGTTCAGACTTCACTTTTATTTATTTTCACGGTTCTGTTTAGCTAAGTGCTTGTGTAACCGTGCGGCCAGTATGCTGAAAACCTCCCGTGATCTGCTCAGCTTCGTCTCCTTCACTTCTCTCCAGGAAGTGTTTACAAGTTCTGCCTTTTTCAAAAATACAGTTTTATTTCACCATGTCGTGTCGCGCTGCGCGCTCGTATTAAGCAAAAGCAGCTCTCTCCAGGAGGAAATTTGCTGTCAGTCCAAGAGTTAATCCACGAGCAGAATTCTGTTGATGTTAAATTGTGCTGTACTCGCTTCTACCCGAACCACCAGAGAGGAGGTTCTGAGACAGCGCGGCTGTGGAGCGAGCTCGGAGAGGTGCATTGGGCCGAGACTGAGCCGAGTCGAACCGCATACAAGAGAGTCCATGGAGATTGTGTGCCACGGCTGTCACTGTTAACAGTGAACACTAGAGGGTGCAAATTAACAGCTTTCTTTGAGGCACCGAAGTTAGAGATGTGTTTCAGTCTGTGTACTACCGTGGATGTTCGCCYCGGTGCCATAMTRGAACMGAGTTTCAGTACCCAACCCTACACGTGTGTCATGCATCAAACATTACTACATGACACAACCTTTAATAATGATTAGAGCCTCAGAGAGCACAATACGTTCCTTGATGTACATCAGTACACCTTGTAAAACAAACAAACAAACAAACAAACAAACAAACAAACAAACAAACAAACAAACAAAAAATACAAAGGTCCTGCTTTGTTTAAACTTTAGATTTAATGAAGTAATACTGACCCTCCATGTTCTGGAGCTTGGCTTCGTTTGAGGAGAGGAGAGAGAAAATCCTCTCTGCTTCTCGGTCACAGTCAATGTCCAGCTGCAGGTTGGCCAGCATGGTGCTGCAGGAGGGAACAGAAATGTCAGAAAATATTTTAAAAAGACAAACAGAAGAGGCAGCAACAGTCTCATCTGTTTAGGTTAAGACACCTAAATGAGCTCTGGAGTTCTGTGAACATGTCCACAAGTCACTGACTGTAAACAACTCACTCTGCCGTCCACACAAATGCTGGGTAAAGCTCTATCATGCAATAAAGAAGTCATCTGTGAATACCATCAGAAAGGTTGTTGTCTTCTCTGGATCAAAGCTCATTTAAAATGGACTGAGTCAGACAAACTGAATTTTGAAATTCTTTTTGGAAACCATAGATAACACAACCTTCAGACTAAAAACAAAGCTGGGCCATCTGGCCTGTTATCTGCACACAGTTCAAAACACGGTCTCTCTGATTATATGGGGGTGCATTAGTGCCTCTGGCACGAGCAACTCAACTGGAAAGGCACTGTCAATGCAAGAACATGTACACAAGTTTTCAAACATCAGAGCCAGGACAGCTAAAGAGCTAGACTTCTACATCAGAGAAGAACGGGACATTTTCCTCCAAAAACTGGTCACCTCAGTTCCTACATGTTTACAGATGGTTGTTAAAGGAAATGAAGGATGCATCGAAGGTAAACATGACATTTCCTGAGATGCACTGCAGCCATCAAACTCACAATTACCAGTGGTGTGCACAGTTCACCTAAAGCACTAATAGGGGAATTAATTTCCTCATTAGTGCTTTAGGGCTTTTGCTAATTTTGAAATTTATTAGTGGTTTAGCACTTGCTAAATTTATAGGTGAAATTTAGAAGCACTAACTGAGGTCTTTAAATGTTATTGATAAATGTTATTGTTAACAGCTAAGGGTGAACGCTGTCACATATTTTGTTCATATGTGTGTCACTGATCCACCAGGTGACATATTGACAATATATGAACCCAAATACGGCTGTGGAACATCAATGATAAGTATTAAGAGAGCAACACGACAATATGTGACTCATGTTGTCTGTTGAAGAATGCTCATGGGTTGACTGGGTTATTTTAGTGCTTTAGAATTAGCTTTTGCTAAAACCTTCAATGCATTAGTGCTTTAGAATTAGCTTTTGGTAAAACCTTCAGTGCATTAGTGCTTTAGAATTAGCTTTTGCTAAAACCTTCAGTGCATTAGTGCTTTAGAATTAGCTTTTGCTAAAACCTTCAGTGCATTAGTGCTTTAGAATTAGCTTTTGCTAAAACCTTCAGTGCATTAGTGCTTTAGAATTAGGGGACCTAAATATTTCAATTAGTGTTGTTCATTCCAAAATTAGAGTGGTACCAAAAACAAGCTGTGCACCGTTCAAAACTGTAGGAACAACATGATGACGATGGCGCTGGTGAAGAAGCGACACTCACGTTGTGCAGGGCTTGCAGCCCGGAGCGCTGGTACTTTGGCTCTTGCAGCACTGCCAGGCCCCGTTGGTGTAATTTGATGTGTGGAAAGTGGCCAAGCGTCCCTCATTACAACGGCTGACCTGGCCCAGGATCTCCAACCACTCGCTGGCCTCCACACAGTTTCCTGCCTGAACATAGAGAGGCTTCTCATTGTGGACCACCTGAAACATCTAAAACAGGAGGAGAAAAAAAAGGTAAGTACGAGCACACTCATCTGTTTATGCCAACAACTACAGCTTCTCTTCAAGTTTTCAACTCTCGCAGCTGAAAGTGTTGAAAGGTTTTCTATTTTACTGTTGAATTCAATGCCAACAAATACCCATGAGACTAACAATGGTGTCATTTATTCTATAATTGTTTTAACTCCAGGAACTGATACTGACACTACTTCTCTTTTAAAAAGGGGAAATAAAATCGAGGCGATGACAGAGATATCGCAGAGAAAAAGACTCACATTTTTGCGGTTAAAGGCACTTTCATCCAGTTTCTCCACCGCCCTGATATTTTTGACGTCGATGGTGCAGAGGGCCTCTTTCCCTGTGGAGCAGAAAGCCTTTCTGTCATGTTTATAATGATTACAATAACAGGCTCAAATAAACATAATGAAACATTACAGACGCAGCAGTCGTCATTTACAAAGACAAGGAATTTACTGAGAAGAGACAAAACAAGTCATGTCAAACTGTTTATTCCCACAGAAATTTCTACAATGAAAAAAAATTGTGAATTGCCATTTGTTTGAGAGGACTCCTCCTTCACACCTCAGCAGGACAGATTCTTGGACAGAGTGTGTTTTGATGACTCACCTTTACATTTGTGGTAGGAGAGCTCCCTGTTGGTCAGCCTGAGCCATCGCTTCTTGAAGTGTTTCTTGACAATTTTCCTTTTCGTTTCAGTTCGTTTCTGCACTTCCCTGTAGAGACACAGATAAGACTGGGCTGAACTTTAGCTTTAAAATCACTTCTTCTTTGTTCAATTCAACATTTTTATCTTGCCTGAAAGTGCAACACAACTCGTTTACGTTACATTACTTAAATGTAACGAAACCTTTTTTATGTGTGCAAACAATAAAAATCATCTTTCTGCACTTTTTTATCTTTAATTTTGGATTATAAATAGTTAAAGAAAGCAGCCAGAACCTTCKAATTTATTTTAGTTGTGGCCCCAGCTCAGCATCACTCACCCTTCCTTGAGAACCACAGCATCATCCAGTCTGCTGGACTCCTTGTTGACATTGGATGAGATTTCATCAAGAAACTGGAAACCGAGGAAACAATGACTTTAATGAACACAAACAGTGAAATACTTTGGATAGCTGAGGATGTTTGAAGAGAGGAAAACTATACCTTTTTAACTTTCTCGATGTACTTTTCCTCCTGGAATGATCTGAAGAAGTCATACATGAAGCTTTCTTTAAAACTAGACTGAAAAAGAAAAACAAAGTGTATTAAAACTATTTAACAATGTTGTCAGACAGCAGACATTATTTCAGGTCTTACCAGTTTCTTGGACAAACTACCCCAGCTGCCCAGAGTCTGGATGGTTTTGGAGATGAGTGTAAGTGTGCGGGAAACCTCAGGATCCTGCGGTTACAGGAGACATATGAAGACATCTGTGTGTGGATTACTTGTGAATTTAGACACAACTTGCGCTTATGGACACAAACTTACAGGGTGATGGGAGCGGAGCTGGAAGGACTGCGGGGAAAGAACAGCCACTGCAAAAAACCGCAGGAACACGAAACTGCTCACAGCTGAGTACTGAACATGTGGGTCACCTGGAGACGGAAAAATAAAAACAAATTGATTCAGCATTGAATAAAGACCCACAAAAAAAGTTTGCTCCTTGTCATGGTTCTTGAGATATTTTGCWAACAAACAGAGGCAAGTAAATGACAGCCCACAACAACAGACAACTCTAAACCTAAACCTAAAGATTTGGCTCCACCTTTTGGTGCAAAGGTCTAAAAACACTTAAAGCTGTAACATGCATTTGGCTCGTAATGATAAACTCTATTATTGTTTTATTAAAAGCAAATTAAAACTGAACAGATGGAGCTGCAGAACAATCCCAATTAATGTTTGTTTGTGTTACTGCTTAAGAGTGGGTGAATGTGACAGGACATTATAAACTCCAAAAC